CAGTTGATTAATTTTTGATATCTGTTACAGTCATTGAGAAAAATTGGGTCAAAGTCACGCAATGGGTTCATTCTGTCATAATTTCGAAAAATTACTGTTTCAACCAACGTTTATCATAATAGCCTCTACAATTTTATAGTTTATGTCACAGAAATTGAGATAAATTGGACCAAAATTTGAAGCCTTGGGTTCAGTCTGTCAGAATTTTCAAAACTTCGAAAAAAAAAATTACTCTTTCAAACTTTGTTGATTCCCCAAAAGCTAGAGTCTAAAATTACTACTCCAGAAGGCGCTTGAGCTCTACATTTTCGAGCTTAAATATCCAAGTTATTATATGAGATATCGAAACCTTGTCAACTGATAAAATGATTATCATAATATCACCAACATTTTATCAGTTGAGAAATTTCTGATACATCTCACAGAAATCGAGATAATTGAGCTCAAAGTTGAAAAGTTCTGAAGGAGCAATTAAGGCATTTGAAGAGAAGACAATCAGATAGTTTTAAAATTCTCACTGTTTCTAATGAAAATATGTTCAATTTCCGAATTTCCAGATGCTACTTCACCTTCCCAATGCAATTTGAACTTCCAATTTCCTTTTCAATCGATCGTCTCTTCGTCATCTCAAAATCTCAACCCCATCACCAATCAGCCACTGATGTTCCAATTCATTACGTGATTGTTGAAAAAATGCCCACTGGTCTTTCTCTGAGAAATTGTCGAATTTATGTCCCAACCATTGCTTCTCCGATTTCCGAAAATTTTCAGATTAAATTCTTGGCGGTTTTCTTTGTCACCGCGTTTGGTGTGATGATTTTGGTTCGATGTTTTTGTATTAAATCGAGATGAAGAGTTATTGGGTTACTGTAGAATACAACAAGCATACCACTATTTGATAGTTTCGAAAATTTTTTGTGCTTCAAAACATCTATAAAGCAGAAAATTTCTGAAACTTTTCTGTTTCAACAACAAATGAATTTTCAAATGTTTTCTTAATGTTTAATACAAAAGTATGTAAGAGCCTTTAAAAACGATTTATGTCAAAGCAAAAAAAAGAAAAACCCAGGCGGGGGGATTTCCGAAGTTTGCTATTAAATGAACCTGAATCAAAGTGTACTGTAGCTTTGGAACAGGGGTGGGCGAAGACGGGCGAAAAACCTTGACAATTTGCGAATTTTTCTTGAGCGTGAGACAATTTGCGATTAAAGGCGCACAATTTGCGATTAAAGGCGCAAACTGAAATTTTATTTATTTTCAAACTACACGCTGCCGGGTAGTCATTCTCCGAGCGGCCAACATCACCCGGGTTTCGCGGACAATCAATGGAGCGCAGAAGTTGTTGAGGTTAGATTATAGCTTTGGAACAATTTTATTCGTGATGGTGGACAAGAGCAGAAGTTTGAACTACTAGCCTGAATTTTTACGTTTCTATTTTCTTAATTTTCGATTTTGAAGTTTAGGTCAAGTTGAAAAAATTTTCTTCGTGATTTTTTGCAGGGATTTCCAACTGCCCCAGTTTTTCAAAACCACGTATCAACTTTTCTGAAGAGCACAAAAAAAGAAATTTGAATGTTATTCTCTTCTCAAGGTTCATCCAAAAATGCTATTGCGTCGTTCGCTGTTTATGCTCGACATTCTTGTCCTTCTAGCCGTCGTCGTCTTCTTGGTTCTTCTTCCGGCTGAGAGGTATGTCTTAAAAATCCTAAGTTTGGGAAACTCAGACCTTGAATTTTCTGTGTTCCAGAAGTTTCGAATTTTTTAAACTTTATCTATAGATTTCGGTTATTAAGCTCAGTTTTGTGGAAGAAAAGAATTTCTGAATTTCTGAATTCCTGAATTTCAGAACTTCTGAATTCCATAACTTCTGAATTTCTGAAAATTGAAAAAAATGCAAATTCGAAATTCGAATTTTTGAGATACAGTATTTTCAAATTTTGGTTTGTATCCATTCGTTATCAAGCAATGAAATCATCACTCCACTAAAAGAAATTTTTGAAACACTAACTTTTTTCTCATAATTTTCAGATGCCTAAACTTTGAAACCAAATCCACGACACCATCCACTAACTCTAAAACATGCCTTCTCCACCCGGTCCATCATCCGGAATTCAGCTTCACAAAGAATCTGGAAACCAATGAGCATTTGAAAAATAATGCACAACACTTGGTTACTGTATGTCATCGTCTTCAATGGTCCCATTACAATGTTTGGGATAATATGTGTAAGTTCGCTCTATTAAGCTCTATTCTTAGAAAGTTGGCAAAGTGAGTGGTTGCAAGATTACAAAGCTCAATTCCAACAGATTTATATTTTGAACTCGAAACAGTGAAATAGTTTTATCATTAGAGCGCATTTGTTATTTCAGACTTGATCCTCCTGCCTGCCATCGTTTGTATCTGTCTCATTTTCTATACAGTGGCCGAGATTCTGGAATTCGACTATTTTGTGGGAACGGTATTTTTTTCTAGAAAATTCAAACTTCCCGCCAATTCCTTGTTTTAGGTTCAAAGCACTGGACTGATTGCGATCACCTTCTTGGTGGTGATTTATACAGTCGGAAGTGAGATTTTTTATATAGAATTCGATATCATTAATGCATTAAAAACTTTTGGATTGACATCAAATTTTTTGGAAATTGTAATTTTTTGAAAAGAAAAACTGATGTTTAACACTTTTCATTTGATATTGATCGAATTTTAGACAATTCATGAAAAATCAAATATTTTTTGATACAGTAATTTTTGGAAAATATTGGACTCTAATTTTACAGTAATCAGCCACGAGAAAAACCGTATCCAAACCGAATGGCCGCTGCTTGCTCATGCTCATCTCCTCGGAGCCAAAGACGGCGAGACTACTGTAGATGTGCCCACCACGTGGCAATACAGTATCCTCATGTGTCTCCTTTCGGCACTTTTCAAAGTGGGACGTATCCTGATTCAGCACTTTATTGGTGATGTGAGTTTTTATTTTTACTGTTTATGTCCTTTTTTTCACTTTGACAAATGCAAAAAGCGTATTAGAAAAATCGTGGATGCCATAAGTTTTTTACCTGGACCCTCGAAACTTATTAATTTTTTTTTCGAAAAATTGCTTCATTTTGAAATCTATTCCCAAAAAATGAAAAAGAAAAACCTTTTTTGTTCATTTCATGTTCGATCTTCCGCCTTTCCTCCCCCTCAACCCTTTCTCTTGTCTATGATCTCCTGCGTCATATACGACGTGCGGGGGTATAGCTCAGTGGTAGAGCGCTCCCTTAGCATGGGAGAGGGCTGGGGTTCAATTCCCCATACCTCCAGAATCTTTTCTTCTCTTTTTTCACATGTTAATTTCAAGTGAAACAGTAATTTTTGATAAAGAAAAAGTGTTTTTAGTAGAATTGATTTTTTCCAGAAAAAAATCTTCCTTGACGACGACAGCCAGCGTGACACGCATAACCAAAATGGGCCAACTCCGAAATTTGGAAATTTCGAGAGCACAGAGGTCGCTGGAACTACTCGAATGCTCAATGAGTCGAGATACTCGAGAATTGAAACTGACTAACTATTTTTTGTGTATTTTAGAAATAAAGAAAATTTGGAAAATCCTGATGAATATATAATATAAATATTAAAAACTTTTGAAAATTCTACTTTGAGTGAAACATAAACTTTTTGTGATTTCAGAATTTCGAAATTCCGTAATCTCAAAATTTCAGAGTTGCGGAATTTCTGAATTACCAAAATTTCAAGTTTCTGAATTTCAGAATTTCAGGATTTCGGAATTTCAGAATTTCAGAATTTCAGAATTTCAGAATTTCAGAATTTCAGAATTTCAGAATTTCAGAATTTCAGAATTTCAGAATTTCAAAATTTCAGAATTTCAGAGTTGCGGAATTTCTGAATTACCAAATTTTCAAGTTTCTGAATTTCAGAATTTCAGAATTTCAGGATTTCGGAATTTCAAGATTTCGGAATTTCGGAATTTCAGAATTTCAGAATTTCAGAATTTCAGAATTTCAGAATTTCAGAATTTCAGAATTTCAGAATTTCTGAATTTCTGAATTTCAGAATTTCTGAATTTCTGAATTTCTGAATTTCTGAATTTCTGAATTTCTCAATTTCTCAATTTCAAAATATCAGAATTTTTTGTTGAAACTGTAAATTTTAAATCAAAAATTTTTTGAATGCATTCATTGGAATAAAATTATCAAGTCATTATTATTATCATCCACTTATCATTAACCCAAAATCTCAATAGAAGCCATGACGACCGTGTCCGTGTCCTCCACGGTGTGGTCCTCCTCTTGGTCCACCTCTTGGTCCTGGTCGCTGCTTGTCGTGAGCTCCAAGAAGTTCACGGATGTACTTAACAGCAGCCACTTCCACTGGATACTCTTGACGGAGAGCATCAACAGCTTCCTCCTGAGCCTTACGAGTTTGATCCTTATTCTGATAGATGGCAGCGAGTTTTGGGACGACGGTCTCGAGATTGGAGATGACTTGAGTTTGATTGGCTTTCACGGCGGCGAGATGGGCGGTGTGTTTGGCGGTGAAGGCATTGTAGGCGTCCTGTAGAGAAGAGATTACTATTATTTTACCCTTTAAGTAGCACCAGCCTGTTTGAAGCGCTTCAAACAGCTGGCTGGTGCGCCTTCGGCCTGATTTATCATATTTTTACTGGTTCTTGTTTATTTGAGAATGACATGAATGGTAGTTTTCTAGTAGTAGTCCTATCTCAAAGTCCTATTACTTCAAGAAGCGAATACATAAAAATTACAGTTTCAAAAGAACAATGTCTGCAAAAGAATGTCCCTTTTGAATGTTGTACCATCGACTTTCAGGTTTCAGTTTTTCGAAAGAGCGGAATCTCTCAAACACAAAAAATTTTCTTATCTCGTTATGTTATATAGATTCAAGGATCAGTAAGATTGGTAATCAGTCACTGATACTACTGTAGATTTTGGGAATTCGTACAAAGAATATGAAAAAACTCTTGAACCATGAATCCAGATTTTTTGAAAACTGAACAATTATCTGGTACCAAATTCGGATAGAGCACCCTCGGCGTTTTACCGTAAATGCTCTAGTAGCATACTTAAACTTCAATCGCAATTATTTATTTAGGTTACTGTAATAGATATCAAATATCTATCAACTAAACAAATATTTATCATAATATCACCTACATTTTGTTGGTTTACAAAATTTTGTTATCTCTTACAGTAACCAAGATAATTGAGCTCAAAAATCAACCCACCGAAACATTGTATTTCTCAGCGAGCGCAGAAGTTTGAGCATCAATCTCGGCAATCGTAGCTGTCTCATTCTTGAACACTGCTTCAAATTCTCTCCGTCCCTCCTTCGTGACATTGGCCAAATATGATGGTCCACCATGTCCATGTCCATGTGGTCCTCCTTTTGGTCCACCACGTCCTCCTGGACCCGCAAGGGTTACTGTGGCGAGAGCCGAGACAGCGAGAGTGATGAGCAACAAGTTGTGAGCCATTCTGGAATAAAATGGAATATTGGGAGGGGGCGAAAAAGAAGAAAACTGGAAGTGGAATGATTTTCAAAGCGTTTCTCTCCCCCTTTTATACTGTTTTTGCTGAAAACGAGAGAGTGTTGAGAACGAGGAGAGCCGGAATTTCGAATATGGGAATCTTGAGAAAATATGGTTTTGATACTGATCTTTATGTGATTTTTTTGTGGATTGGGTGTGGAAAAAAGAAGGAAATTTACATATGAATCAGAAAGCTCATGTGATAAAGATGAAAAATAACAAAAGATGAAAATCGAAAAGTTCAGATTTGTCATGTTTGGAGGAGAGACAATTATTATTTGTGACCCATAAATTATATGTAAAATTAGTTTTCGTTGATAAAAGATCAGACAATCTTATGAAAGTTAACAAATTTTAAGCATTCTTGGAATTTTATAGGGTTACGGTAACTAGGATTCAATAGAACACTGTATTTTCAACAAGATAATTACATTCTCCATAGAATAGATTCTTGTAGTTTCAATAGAGTTAAGTTTACATTGAACAAGGATTACTGTAGTTTCAGGTGAACTTTTTGGATTACTGTATTTTGTCAACTTTAGTATGCTATTGGGATTTATTGCAGTATCTTATCGGATTTTCCACATTTTCAATAAACTCTGTTTCACAAATTCTGAAAAACGAATTTAGAATAGTTTTCACTTAGTATATCTAATTTGCGGGCGGCGTCCACTAATTCCAAAATTTTTTGTGATTTTTATATCAATCGATCCAGAATTTGGGTCTTGAAGAAAACTCTCTTGGAAGATGGTCCGAAAATCACTCGTTCTTAAGATAAATGTCAAAAACAGGTCAAGAAAATCAACGTAGAGGGTGCAGATTAGGGAGCTAGACAAGAGGCAGAAAGACGTGAATTATTTTCCCTATTATTCTTCCTAATCTGCACCCTCTAACGAGTGGTTTTCGGACTATCCTCCAAGAGAGTTTTCTTCCCGATTCAAATTCTGGATCGATTGATATAAAAATCTCAAAAATTTTGGAATTAGTGGACGCCCCCTTTAAAAAATTTTGAAGGAGAATAAAAAGCACTGGCGGCATTGTTAATTTTGAATTCTCAAAAACAGTAAAAACTTGAAAATATGAATCAACAAAGTTTTTCAATTTCGAAATTTCTGCAAAATTTAGTAAAAAATTGTGGTAGGCCAGATCTTCGAGATCGTAGTTCTCTTCGGAGAATCTTTTGAACCAAAACTTTATTGTAATGTAGGACATATAGTTCTGGCCTAACACTGTACACAATTCATGACAAGCTACGTTGCATTTGTGACCTTGGAGAAACACGAACAAAAAAACACCCTTGAGAGCATGGTGACCTCTGAGCAATTTCTCCGTCATTATAAACGCGGTCGGTAATTTTAACAAATCTTTTAAGCATGCACAACTAGTACTACAATATAGAAAAAACGGAACAATAAAAAGTTAAACCAACGCTGAGATATGACGGTCCAAAAAAAATTACAAAGACTTTTCGCTCAACCTAATACATTGTTTCAGTACAAATATTTTCAATTTTTCGTAATTTCATTGATAATTCGTCGGTTATAACAGTCGAGATGTCCACAATTGTTAATCCATCGTTTGAAATTGGGTTTCACCACAGAACTTCGTAAATATTACTGTTTCAAAAATGTTTGTTTAGTAAATCAATTGATATTTCCATAATTTGTTGATGTGAAGGTCACAAAGTTTGTCTGTTTGTCCGGATGTCTGTCGATTTTGAGATTACCCTGGAAAACTAATATTTTTTAAGGAGAGAACATGAAAAAATACCGGTGGGCCCTTCTATTACAGGGGCCCTTCTATTTTGTCAGCCAGTTTTTTCCTAAATTTAGCATCTATTTTTCTCAAAAAATTCGCTTATTGAAAAAACTTTTGAAAAAAACTCACTGTTTCAAAACGTATTTATTTCAGATGGAAAACTTTCAACAATTCTTCGCCCCATCGCCTTTCAACAATCTTTCCACGACATCATAGTTAAGAAAGGCTTAAAATAAAGTTTTATCGGTTTCTCTGGACCGCATCATGGGCTACAGTGAAATGAGCTATAAGAGCACCTTATAAAAATCATTGTTTCTCTGAAAAAATATTTTTGAGTTCCATGATTATTCAGCAGTATACTTTTCTTGCAGTTTTTGTCTGTTTGTCGGTTTGTAAAATTTTCCGCAAAACTTGAACCCAATCTACAGTACTGAACAAAAAAATGACAAAAAATAAAGGTTTATCGAAAAAAAAAAATTCTCGAAATTTCGTTTCTACAAACCCCCCGGGGAATTGAACTTGTTGGGTCAAATTGCATACTTTTGTCCCGAAAACCTCAAAAACATTTTTTTTCAGTCATCACAATTGAAAAAATTTCAGTTTCAAAAAATTTTTATTCTAGATGTCAACATTTTGCAACAATTCATCCACCAAAATAGGTTCAACAATTTTTCAATGAAATCATAGTTGAGTATACAATAAAAACAGTTTATCGGTTCCTGTGTACCGTAGGATGTCCTACAGTAAACTGAACTCTGAGTGCTCGTTTAAAAAAATCCCCGTTCCGCAGAAAATTTTTTTATGGATTCAATGAATTTGCAGTAGTCTAAATTTTCTTTCAAATTTTTACTACTGGTCGGTTTATAATCTTTGCGCGAAACTTGAACTCAGTCTACAGTAATTTTGTGTTACAAACGCTATGTTTTATCAGAATGGAATTTGGCAAAATTCCTATCATGTCAAATCGAAAAAGCATGAGAATAGAATAGAATCCTGGCCTGAAAATAATAGTGAGAAGAATCTAGAAAAATCATAATTCTTGAATTTTTGAATTTTCAAGAATATGTGTGTTCGAAAATTCTGAAAAAAAAACTTTTTCAGTTTCAGAAAATCTATATTTGTGAACTATTAGGTTGGCGGGAAAGTCTTTGTCACTTTTTCAATAGTTTATTTCTCAAAGAAAAAATAACCGAATAATTAATTATATTGTCCATCATTATCAACAACATGTCTCCAACGTTCCCTCAATTTATGGATTCCATTGCGGTAGAATCCAGCCGGGCGTGAGGCAAAGTATTGTTTGAGTGCCGCTTCGACCGCTCCACGGGAATTGAAGCTTCTTCCTTCGAAGGCACGTGTCATATCGCCAAATAACCAATAGTCGGAAGGAGCAAGATCAGGAGAATACGGGGGGTGAGGGAGAACATTCCATCCATATCCCATCAGCTCCTGCTTCACTTGTTTCGAAACATGTGGGCGAGCGTTATCATGTTGATAGTACACTTTCTTGTCTTTCAGGGCCGAACGGTCGACTGCTTTCTTGAGGTTTCGTAGTTGAGTAGTGTAGAGGTCTCCAGTTATTGTTTTGCCCTCGGGCAGAAGTTCCCAGTAGATGGGGCCGTCCACTCCCCACCACACAGAGAGCATAACTTTTTTCGGATGAAGGTCGGGTTTGGGGACATCCTGTGGGCTCTCTCCTTCTCCAACCCACTGGGATTTCCTGTGGTGATTATCGTAGAAGACCCACTTCTCATCTCCGGTTATTAGCCGGTCCAGCCATCGATCGCCCGCGTGGAGAGTGAGAAGAGTAATCGAATCGTCGACTCGGCGGTCAAGGTTGGCTTGAGTCAGGTGATGAGGTATGAATCGACCAAAAAGTTTTCTCATTCCAAGAGACTTCAAACCTTCAAGGACTGTGCTATGGTGAACTCCGAATGTGACAGCTAGTTCACGGCTAGACTGAAATGGATCCGATTGCAATGCGTGCTTCAGCTTGTCCAAATCCAACTCACGGGGTCTCCCAGAGCGATCCTTTTCATCGAGCGAGAAGTCATCTTTTTCGAAACGATGGAACCAATTGCGAATAGTATTGTAGTGAGGGGCATGTGTGTTGTACACATTCTTCAAGAAAGTTTCCGAATCCTTCATCGTGGTGTGAGATAGGAAGAGGTAAATCAAAACATGTCTGATGTGAATAGCAGTGGGAACAAACATATCGTTTCAATTACAGATGAGGAGCAGGGAAGGAAATGGGGACTTGTTTATATGGAAGGTTCTTATCACCTTGTTATTCACTAGAGTCGATATCATACACAGCCTCCATATACGAGAACAGTGATTAAACAAACAGAGTGACAAAGACTTTCCCGCCAACCTAATACCTGAATTTTGAACAGTAACTTCACCATTTGTTTGTCAAATTTGTTCACTTTGGTCATTTAACATCCTGAATCGAAGGCTCCGCGTCACTTCGAAACCGCGACACTTCCAACCGGTCATTTCAAAACTACGTGACACTTCAAAACCAGTCATTTCGAAACCGGTCATTTCGAAACCGCGACACTTCGAAACCAGTCATTTCGAAACCGAAAAAAAACACGGTCACATGAAAATGAAACTAGAAATTGGAAATTTTCAGTCTTAAAATTGAAGAAAAAAATTGCAGCGTGCAAATTTCGCAGTTTCGAAATGACTTGTTTCGAAGTGTCGCGGTTTCGAAGTGACGCGGAGCCGAATCGAATGGCGTTCACAGAATTTTGATACCTCACTGTTTTTTTGACGTTATGTTCACATCTGTTTTTCTCCTTTCAAACTTTTCTCTTTCCAAAACTAGACAGTTTTGATAGAGAAGTGTTGCAGTAACCGGAACGTGTGGGAGGATAAGCACAGATTTATTTTGTGGACAGACAGAGAGACAAAAAACCTATTACATGAAACAAAAAAGCATACTGAACATCAACAATAATTGTGCAACAGAAAATGATGAGTCAGAGGAGAGAAAAAGAGAAGAATTGACGCTGATCTTTAGAGAAAACAGAAAAAAACATGATGAAAATAAATATAGACTCTTTCTACTGCTCTATTGACTTTTAATTCTTGGAGAGGAGTTTTTTGAATGGCAACAAAGATTAAAGGAACATTGGTCTAGAACATTTAGGGTCAAAAACGAGAAGAAAAAACTACTGTTA